CACATTCAAATTAAGAAGTCTTAGGTTGCTTAGAATCCTATGCTGGAATATGTTAGCCTGGTAAGTTGGTAAGTACTGGTCCCTAATTCATGGTCCCATCTACATATTCCACTTTGAGGGGCCTCACATGCAGAACCAGGATCCAACTTGCAGAACTAGAATGTGACCAAGCCCAGGAGATTGCTCTTTTGGCCATGTGTTGAGCTGAGATGTTGAACTGATGGTGCAACAGAATGGAACTAAACAGACTGGAAGGTTGTGCTGTTTGAGTTAAGATTTCTTAGGTGCCAAGAGTCCAGAAGTAGTCTAAAGAGGGCTTAGGTTCCAGGTGGACACGTTTCTCTGGCTCTACAGCCTCATCACACTGTCGGAGCAGGAGCAACCAAAGAGCCCGAACAAGGCCCTAAAAGCATAGGGCCCAAAGCAGGGGCCTCCCTTGTCTTAGTCTGAAGGCAATCCTAGGACTAACTTCTCAGTATATAACAAGAGGCACCCCAAAACAAAACAAACGTTTTGTACTTGCATTTTAAACCATTGAGAGTTAACTATCAATGTGACTTTAATGGCTGTTATAGTTAGAAGACAAGCTAAATTGTTATTTAGCTAATAAACCTAAACACTGTTTTTCAAAATTGAATAAAAACAACTAACAGGGCACTGAAGAGATGGCTCAGTAGTTAAGAGTACTTGCTGATCTACCAAAGGACCTGAGTTCAGTTCCTGGCACCCAAGTCAGGCAGCTCACAACTGCCTACAACTCCAGCTCCACAGGATCCAATGGCCTCTTCTGGCCTGAAGGCACTTGCATACAGATGGCATACGCTCACACACATATACACATATATAAATAAAGATAATGAAAATAGGGCCGGAGTGGTGGCACAGGCCTTTAATCTCAGCACTGGAGAGGCAGAGGCAGGCAGATCTCTGTGAGTTCAAGGCCAGCCTGGTTTACATAGTGGTTTACATACAGGCCAGCTGGGGCTACAGGGAGACCCTATCTCAAAAAGGCCAAATAAATAAATAAATGATAATAAAAAATTTTTTTAAACTAACAGGTCTTATTAGAAGAAAGTTTCCCATAACAAAATGTTTGAAATCAACATATTTTAAAACAAACTTTCATTTTGTTATGAGGAACTTCTAAAAGACTTTAATATGAAAAATGTAGTCTGTGAATCTCCAGGTCTGCAAATGAACTAAGGTATTTTCCAAATTCAAGTGTTATATGTGCACATGCATGTATATCTGTTGGTACTAGAATTCTGAAAATACTGTAAATCAAATCAATCACTGTCATCAGTGGGAGTTCTGGAGTATGATAGAAAGTACTTATGACAAGAGTAAGAAGCAGAGGAATTAAGGAAAAGAGGCATAAGGGAGAGTCTTCAAGGGTCATGCCTAGAAAACAAGCAGCACAGGCACTGGTAACAAGAGCAAGCCCTGTACCTTCACTACTTTACTGAGATGAATTATTTCCCGACTATCTCCATTTCCTTATGCTTTAGAGAAATACAGATAATAAATGGATAAACCAAGCCAATGTGAGAGTATGAAGCTAGTTCTTCCAAAAAGAGACATGCAGTGAAACTCTTGAAGGAAATTAAGTAAAATGTTAACAGAGCTTTCCTTTCAATAGTCGCACTACAGGTAGTTTTTATTTTATTTACGTACATGAATTGTTGTTTTGGGATTTTTTTTTTTTTGGTCTCTTTGAGACAGGGAGAGACAAGTTGTCCTGGAACTCACTATGCAGACCAGGCTGGCCTTGAACTCACAGAGATCCACCTACCTGTGCCTCCCGAGCGCTGGGAATAAAGGCATGTGCCACCATGCACAGCCACATGCTTCTAATTTTTAAAAATGGACATTTGTTTTACCAGTTCCATCTATGTGAAGATAAGTCAAATGTCCTGCTTGACCATGGCTGGCTTCGCTTGTAAGCATGGAGGAAATGTTTCCTCTGTGTTGACCCTCCTCTTAGTAGACTGGACACTGGTTCAAGTCCATCTCGTGGGGTCTCCATGGCCTCCTTGATCAAGAGGACAGGTGACTCACCACAGTTACAGGACATTCTGAGAGATGCTCATAGTCCCCTGGAACTAGTCAACCTAAGAGGGCAAGGAGCAAAAACTGCCCTTTATGTTCCTCTGACCAAATTAGTATAGGCCTCAAAGTAAGTCTGTTAAATATCCAAGACGGTTAGTTCTACCAGTCTGGTACTTTTAATTACTGTGTGCCATGTCGATTAAGCTTGGGCAAAGACCAATTCTCAGATAAACCTTGCCTAGACATATATTTCTTGATCTGGTATGTATAATTTGTCAGTAGGTTGTTGGACTAATATGGTTCTCTCTGGGTCTTTTTAAAACTAGCTAGGCATTGTTTATCTCTCACATTGTCTAACCCTTCGGTCATGGTTTCCCCAATTAAGGTGCCCCCATTTTTCCCATTTCTCCCTTAATAATACCCTTCTCCTATGGTCCTACCTCTCGAGCTCCTTCTTTCCCTTTATCCCCTAGGTTCCTTGTATACCCTTCCCTCCCCCCTCCCTTAAACTAACCCAATTTTTATCCCTATCTCCCGTATTAATGCCTGTTTCCTACTGCTTTTCTCTTTCGGGTTCTTTCTTTTCCTTTACCTCCCTGGTTTCTTTCCCTTATCCTAGTTCTTGTAGTTATGTCTGGATACATACTCACCTATCAGTATTTGGCGCTAAGCTCCACATATGAGGGAGAACATACGTCGTGGTTTTTTGCTGTTTTTTTTTTTTTTCTGAGTCTGTGTTACTTCACTTACTGTAAGTTTCTAGTTCCATCCATTTTTCATCTTTCTTTACTACTGAGTAAAACTCCATTGTATAAATGAACCACAATTTCATTATCCACTCTTCAGTTGAGGGACACTTAGGTTGCTTCCATCTCTTAGCTATTGTGAAAAGAGCAGCAACAAACATGGATGTACAAGTGT